AAAAAGTACTTATACGTAATTTAGTGTGCTTCAATATTTTTGACATGACATGTAGGATCCTTCTAGAAAAATTTCTGAATTTTAATGATGATTTTGATGTTGTTTGAAATATAGTACAGATCTAAACTGCTTGACAAATGAAGTGATCCAGCTGAAAGTTTCACCCACTTTTTAAAATAAATATTATATACAAAATACTAATCCGATTCTGAAACGGTTCGTTCTATGCGATGTTCTATGTTTTGTAAAAATCGTTCAAGAATGAGATGTTCCACCAACATTGCCCATATAATATGTGTTTTCAGATTTCCAGGGGAAACAAAGACCGATTAAAAAATGAACGTACATATAAGTATTACCAAACATTTTGATACCTACCATATCTATACCAGTAACTCCTAATTAACATTGAAATTTATGCTTCTCACTTTGACACTAATTTCGGTTTCTTTATCTAAATAAAATATCTGTTGATTCGTGTTATGACTACCTGTACAAAACTTCTATCAGATTTTGTACACATACATACACGTGTTTTTATAATTGGGATTTAACTTCTCAAACTGAGTATATTCGAATTCAGTATTCATATTATTCATTTCAATTATAGAACAGGGCAAGGGGTCAAATTTCGAACAACAGCTGTAAGAATGCTGAAAGTCTTGGTCTGTAAGTTCTTATTATTGTTTGGTTAGATATACTTTTCCAAGGCGATTCAACTAACATCGATTACCTATCTGATTTGTCATTTTGGTGTATTGATTTTCATATGAAGCGTATGCGTTTTGGTCCTGTTGTGTCGTATTAGATCAAATACTCAAGTAGTCATTCAGTTGATGGAACAAATTCCAATTTGACGTCCATGCTCTTCCTAAGGAATAATTCTCATTATAGTTTCATTGAGTATGTGACTTCTTCGACTTTTGTTATTCCTTTTGAAGTCTAAGTTCATGAATACATGATCAGTGAACGACATAATATTCTCGATGATATTGAAGCTCTGCCACACCTTAGATCAGTTCAAATCGTGGCACGTTGGGAAATTCGCGAAGGGCGAAGAAGACGTCATCTCCTTTCATTTGCTTTGTTTCCTACTCGTTATCACATGACGAATGTATACGTTCTGAATGAAAGGATTTGACTCAGATTAAAGGTGGCACAGGTAGGATTTTGAGAATCCGTTCTAGCGCAAATTACCGCACCGGAAAGTGCCATTTTTCAATCATCTTGGCCAGGATAGTGATTGGCACAGATGCCATTCGATACAATCATAAAATCCTATGTTTTTACATGATGGTCGACATTTCTCTCTATTGCCTCATCACACTACAGTCGAATGTAGACCGCTATGATCAATGAAAAAACATCGGAAGAAAAAGATGACGCCGTTGATGGTTGATGGCGATGGACCTGTTGGACTCTCGGGCCATTCTATCAAGAGGAGATCGAACTCTCAGGGTATGACCATGTATGACTCACCTTCTTCGCGTTTTGGGCGGCATGGAGTTGCGCTAGTACAGTCGTCTCCACGAGCAAAATAATCTGTAACGGGCACTAAAAGTCAGTAATTCCAGCCAAAAAGTTATGTCGCTACCACACAACCACTAGGTCCACTGAACCATTTTTCTGAGAATACTGATTTTTGATTTTTGATCACAATCCACATTTTTGTGCTAATAGGATCGATATTCATTTTAGGAGTAGCTACTGAGTTTCAAGAGCAATAAGTGAAGAATGCCAATGGCAATAATTATGAATGCTTGATATAATTCCGTTGTTTCCATGACTCAATTGTCTTCAGAAACAGCAATAATTAGTTGTTACCCAAACTGATTTTGCTATTTAGAGTAAACAATACAATAATACCTGATGCCGATTGGCTATAGTTAGGTAGGTATTATTTTTGTTGCAACATTGAATCACAAATGAATTATAGATACCCAACTAGCAAAGTAGAACTTATAAAGAAGAAAAGAATAATCCTATGTCGTCGGTTTCACGTGATGTTCCACAACTTGATATTGTGTTAGATTGTCAGCTCCATATTTTGATATGTTACTAGCTGTCCAGTCCGGCTTCGCACGGTGCACTCATATAAAAAAAGACATATATTTTGTTGTTATATTTCGATTTTTTTTGCTTATCAGTAGGTACTATTATATACTTACACCTTTTTCAATTCTCTTAGTTCTGTTTTTCACATATAGAAAATTTTAACCCAATCGGCCAAGTCGTTTTCGAAATAGTACCCATATAAAATGTTAATCCAATCGGTTCAGTCGTTTATAAGTTATGTGAAAAATGTAGGTACGGAAGTTTTGAGCTTCGAAATATGTCAATTTTTTTTATCGCCGACTGTGAAATTTTCTATCTGCCCTATTATGTGAGTGAAGCTGTACTCTGTGAGATGGATCGCCTCAGATGGTTGCGAATGGATTGGCACGAAACTAATAGCTCTGAAAAAATTATGTTCTATATCGACGGTAATCTCACGTAATGAAGTATCTCAGTTTTCTTAACTTTACAGGAGTGCAATTCAAAGATTTCAACACCTTAATTCGCTCATAACTCAGAGGTTTGTTCATGAAAGATCATTGTTTTTTTATTTATTGGCGGAAGAACTAGAACTAGTTGTTATGATATGGTGAGATTTCGAAAAAGCATCTCTAAAAACGGAGAAAAAAATATGTTTGTGAGATACGTCACTACGTGAGATCATGTTTGTCAATGTGGCCCATAGTTAGGTCACTATTATTCGTGATAGGCTGAGTATTCGATATTTAATTACACGAAAACCAATGAATATTGAGTTATGCCACTTATGAAATCATAGAATATAAAAACTCATTTAACGAAGTATCTCAAATTCCGATTTTTATGAGATTCGTCATAACGTGAGATGACCCAGGATATGTTTCTAGCGTGGGGCATGAAAGTGCAGCAGAAATGGTTCGGAGCAATCCGATATCGCCTTCGCGTTTCGCGATGAGTCAAGGTCGACTTGTAAATGACAGGTGGAATTCTAGTAGCAAGAAATGAGGAAAGGTGACCAGTTGCCGTGTCTGCCAAATAGCACAAACAAAAAACCGCGGCGTCTCTGATTTCTTTTCTCCTTTAAAATATGCAGAAGATGTATGGAATTCGATCATGGTCATAAAAACGTGTGAAATGTGGATATGTTCAAATTAGAATAAGTAATTGATATATCAGTCAGTGGCGTCCCAGCAAACATTAATAAATGGGCCATAACTTTCAGAGTAATGTCACCCCAGTGGGCCCAGTGAACTATCATTGTCTCAATATTTGCATTTTTTAATGGTAAATCACAAAATTTGACCAATGGCCGACTTAACGCCAATATTGGCGAAGCAGTACTTCCATTTATTGCATTTTCGGTGTTGGCCCAGAGATGACCTACTGATGTATTTTCAGTGCATTCCCAATGGAAATTGAGTGATAAAATATTATTCAACTAATAATAATAATGATAATACCCAGATCACACCAACCGTCGGCCCAGCATTTGTAACGCACACCTCTCCCGGCAGTACGTGTATAGTTTATGCGAAGTCAGTTGAAAAACTTCCGTTTTTGAGGACGATACGAGGATTTGTCGATTTACTCAACATTGGAATAGGAATGAATGAGATATTTTCTACTGAGCTTTCCCGGTATGCAATCTGTGCAGTCAACGTGGACTGGACAAGCGCTGTCATGCTAGAAACCGCGTCTCATTGGTTACTCCAAACTATACTGAATGTTGATTGGTCAGAGTTGAATGGGCGGCCTTCTGTGTGATAAGAATCTTCTAGCCTCCGCTAGGCAGTGCGGTACGGTACGGTAATGCGACAGAGCTAGGTTGTCTTCATGTTCAACTCGAAATCCAGAAAATTTATTATTTCAATCATAGTGGTTTTGTGTTTCGATTCGCAATTAAAATATGGCGTTCTGGAGGCCTTCTGAGGAACTCAACGAAGTAAAGTGATATAGTGATTCGGAGGAGGTAATTTCGAATATCTATTCGCGTCTCGAGGACGAGAATTCTTCAGAAAACCAACTTGTGAAGAGAATACTGGAATTAACACGTGACAACACAGTGCAAGACTTGTGGACGTGGTCTTGTAAGTTCTCAGCATTCAGCACAATGTTGACAAGTCTCCAACATTCACATGATATTTTGTTATGGAGAATAAGGAATATTTGGACATGCTGGTTGCCCGAAAAAGTCTAGAATCAACTATAATATCATGGGCTCCTCCTATTATGTTTTATTCAACGACAGGACTCCAACATCTTTTTGATATCTTGATTATAATTGGTGACTCAACAACCTTGCTTCATGAGTGGAAAAGGAAGATTATCTGACCAATAATGAAACAGCATAAAATCTGACCTACCATTTATTCGACGTATCGTATATAATTGAATGTCAATAATCCAATATCAGTCCACTCGCCCATTGGCAACTGAAGAAGTTTCACTCGTAAATTGTAAATTTTTTTCTGGAAATCAAAATCTGGTAACTTTTTATTGACGACATTATGACGTTTATCAGATAAATACGTCAAGTTAACGTCATGAACGTTTTCATGATGCTCTTAAGTTGATCTGTGCAATTGCTCCTTGTTCCTAACATTTAGATTTCAGTTTATTGCGTGTCTTCTTGAGATACCTCATTGTAATGTAAATCACTTGTGAATAATATCCTCCTGTTCATAACCTTGTTGGTAAACTTCCATAATAAATATTAAATGCTGATACAACAATGAATAATTACTGCATCGAAAAAACGTATCTCACAAAGGCATTTGTGTAATTAAGATCACAGAACAGAATATAAAGTGTTTTTGCGAATGTATTTCGCGCCTCCAGCCAAGGTCAAAAATGCGTGACTGCTCTCCCGCACTGTCATTCTCGTTATCTTTTTATTTTTACTTATTCATCTTTTTCTTGTCGCCAGCAATAAAACCGAGAATAAAACAATATCCCTTTATTTACAGGGGTACTTGGAACCTTGGAAAGCCGACCCAGAGTGTCCCCTTGCACAGCATCTGCAACATCTGTTCAGCAACGTCGAAGAAATATACAAGTTTAACAGGTGAGTTCGCTCACAACGGATGTAGGTACAGGGTGGAATAGAAAATAGTTTAAAGTATATGTCAATAAATTAACAAATGTTTTCGACGATCAGCTAGCAGCTATATAAAGCTCGTCGAAAACATTTGAAGTTGTCATAATTTATTGACACAAAATTTTGTTTTGATCGCTATATATTTTTCAATGGTGCCATTCAATAGTACACCTTGAGCCTTCTTTAGGTTTAATGTTAAAATGTATTTATTTTGATGAGACCCTGTATATATAGCATAGCATTGCAAAAATGTATTCCCACTTTATCCAACCATCTTCTGATTTCGTCGCACCATGCATGTTGGTTCTTATTGCTTCTCTTTTCATTCTTATGTTGCTTTCAATTCATATCTCTCTCTCTCTCTCTATATATATATATATAATAAAATATACTCTAGTTTATAAAACCTCAAACAATAGTCTCAGAAGCTCGAGCCAAAATTATGTGTTTGTCATTTCACATAATACTTTACTGTTTTACCCCTGACCAAACCGATTATTTCAACGCCTCGTCAGGTGTTTCGGAAACTATGTTAGCATCTTCAGGCGGAGATTAAAACTGGTTCAGTTCTAAGATGGTATCTCCATGTTTGTCCAAGAGGAGAACGACTTTCGAAATAGGTATGCTATTTTAATTCCATTCAACCTATCCTTTATGTTTTGAACAACTCCTATTCGAATAGGAATGTCCTTTTTTCATGAACTACGAAGTATCTGCCTACTGTACATAATATATACACTTGATATGTCCACTCAGAGTCTACTGAGGCGACTTTTTGTCAAACTTCAACGAAATTTTCGCTCTTTACGATGTACAGAAAGAACTGTCAATTTATTGTGAATAATCTAGTGCAGGAAAACGATCAACGAATACTCTTCCTGCTCGTGGCAAGCGAGTGGTATCAGACGATTTACCTACATTTTCATATTTTTGTATTTTTTTTGACTTAACATCCCGAATGATTTGTTACAACAGGTTTATTTTGGCGATACCCCGCCTCACATATACCAGATTATACTCAGATTTATGGTTTATATCCAGTTCATATACGAATGCACTCACATGATTATATTGAAATGAGGAATGAAAGTTGATAAATGCGGGTATTTGCGTATAGCTATTTCATTCTGACATAATTGCAGTACCTTGAGAATGATTCTTTGATTCCGTTCAACTGGCACTGGATACGGCTCGCCCGCATTCACCAAACACCCACATACGTATAGCGGTTCAAAAATAAATTGCTTTTATCCAGTTATGACGATGATGTCCTTAGAGGGTACCATTTCATAAGACTTCATTTCTATCAATCTTTCTATCTATTCTATATTCCTCACATCACTTCATCTCTCAAGACAGAGTGATCTATGATCTATGTAGGAGTACGAAAGGAAGGTTGTATCAGTTTTGAAAAAGCGCCTGGAAGTTTGAGAACAATCCGAGTGGAATATTGAAACTATTTATTCAAAAAAAATTTTGCAACTCTTAGCGTTGCCAATGGAAAATAGAATATGCTATGCACTCGACCAATTACGGTATCAAATTGGAACGATCTTCTGCACATTTGCATTTCTTTTGGCCACTCTGAGGAGTAAAAAACAACCGATAGATCAACAGAAGCATAAGAGAGAGAGATAACTGATCGAGCATAGGTGAACAGGATGGATCAACCGTGGAAATCTAATAAAATCAGTTAGTCTTGAATATCTGATGATTTTTCACGCCCAACATTTTTTCAAATGCGTACACATTATTCATCATTCGACAACATCGAACAACAGAGAAACAGCAGCAGGCTTGCCATCAGAGAGTTCTGTGACACTGTCATTGTGCGCGATGCAAAGTTGGCCCATTGTGAAAAATTGGACACCACCCATTGAATATAGCTTATCGCATTCTCATATAAATCACCTTGTATACTTTCTGAATCACCAAATCAATTATTTGTTTCATTACAATATACCTCATTTTCATTCTCAGGGCGTTTCTTGAGGATTTGCAACGATCCGATTGTGAAGCTACAAAAACTGCCAACTGTTTCCTGCAGCATGATTCTGGCTTCACCATCTACAACGAATACTGCCAAAATTATCCTCGCACCATGGAAGTTTTGGGGGAATTGACCAGAGACGAGAATATGGCCGCCTTATTCAGGGAAAAACAAATTGCACTTGGACATGCCTTACCACTGGGTTCCTATCTCCTCAAACCTGTGCAGAGGATACTTAAATATCATCTCCTATTACAGGTAAGAATCTCAACCAGAAGATGAACTTGGTCATCGTATGGCAGCTTATATACAAGGTGGTCTTCAACTCCCGAATAAGAGCTATTAATAAAATGGGGAGGCATCGTATATTTTCCGAACAATGATGATTGAACTCACCATAGCACTGTAAGCACTGGTTCGATTCCCCAGTATACACGCTCTCACACTATCGTTGTGTTACTAGAATCAACGACATATCCAATACATGCACAATGCATAAATAAAAGTTAAAGTCTCAAACATAGGATTTACAGCAAAAAACACTTAGAGATGGAAGCGGAACAAAAACTGTATATTCTGGCAGCGTTTATTTTTTGATATTATTATATAATTATTAAAAGGACATAATTGGGGCATCCAGGGGATGTCCCGCAGTGGTTGTCCAGTGGATATCCCGCCCGGTACATCTCTAGGTTATCCTATTCGTGTCCCCGGAATATCTGATATCCATTCACATCAGAGTCATGGAAGTACATCAAAATATTGAGTTGAATTTTTTGGAAAATGTTTGTTTTTCTTCCAGAACATAATTGTAATGAAAATAAAGAATATAATAATATAGTCTCAGAACTTCTTAAGAAATGACAATTTTTCGCAAACAGAAATCGTAAATGCATAATAATGCCCCTCATTTTAAAACACCCAAGAATGATAATAATTGTACCCCAAATCCTAACAAAGTTGTATTCATTCAGGTTTCTGTAGTTTAGTCCTGTTTATAAATCTCTTTAGTACTTAAATCTTTAGAAAGCATATTAGCCAATGGAGTGAGGTGCGTGTCTGATAAACTATAGGTCCCGGCTCCAATCCCTACTCGACCTACACTTTTTTCTCTTTTGTCGAGGGATGTCCCTGGATATCCTTTTTTCGTACTTGGTACATCCCAGGGACGTACCAGAAGGACATCCCTCGGATGCCTTTCTCGTCACCAGCGGATGTCCCTGGGACTTCCCTAGTATGTACTTTGTCCCAACAAAGGATATCCCTGGGATGTCCTAGTATAAAATTAGGGACGTCCCTGGAAAGTCCCTAGGATGTACTCGTGTTGTTAGGGTCAGGGGGGAGTATTGATCATTACAATACTATTTCTTTACAGAGACTGTCCAAGCAATGCTCTCCGGTCCACAAACCTGCCGTCGACCTGGCGCTGACCACCATGACAGGCATCGCGACCGACATCAACAGCATGAAGCGCAAGCACGAGCACGCCGTCAGAGTGCAGGAGATCCAGGCGCAGCTGTACGGCTGGAGCGGGCCGGATTTAGCCGCCCTGGGCGAGCTCATAGCCGAAGGTAAGTTCCTGCTTGGTTGGGAGGCAGGGCTACAACAGCCCCGGAACTTCCACTGAAAGGGGGATCCACGATAGAGACTTCGAAATTCGAAAAACAAAATCTCATCTCTAAAATTCCGACGAGTAAACACTAGTAAACCAAAAGAGAACTGGATAAAGTCCAGAGACAGTGATGCCGCTCACAATTTTTGCTGCGTACTGAATTCTCTTGGGAAAGGTACTGAAAGGTACCGAGAGATGGCAACAAATAGAATACATAGGAAAGACTGAAAAAGTGATAAAAACTTTGAGGGTAAATTAATTTCTGCATAGAATGATAGGAAGGGACAAGTCAATCTATGCCAGATGAGTAAGGAATGTTTTCTCCCAGTTTTGACGTCGTTTCCACGTCAGATAATGACCTTGAAAACCGCGAATAAACATCTCGTTGTACCACGCAGTAGTTCAAGTTGAGATGTTTGTGGTTACGTTGGTCAAAAACTGACGACACTTATAAGGTTCTTTTTCAATCCTCTGGGAAAAACGATTTCATCTGGTGATGATGACAAATTATCATTTCCTATGAGAACTGAAAGCATTGGATCATTGTCCTATAGAATCAAATTCCTACAGATTCGAGAATCGGGCCTCAGGGCACTTGAAGCTTTGTTAGGTCTGCCGCCTCTACACCTGTTCACTCAACACGAAGCCATGAGAACTGCTCAACGACTCAACGGTGCAAACCAGTGAGTCGGAACAGAAGCAGATTATGAACACTCCCTGCCTGGAATAAGGCAAAAGGAAGTTGTCCCATCCTCATGATGAGAAGGGACAGTACCTTGCCGATTCTGAACTTCAACAGAGCCCAAAAGATTGTCATCCCTATACCAGGGAAGAATGGAATGACACAACACCTGGCGTGCCTCCTTCCAATGAGTCAATTTGGAACGGATGGCTCTAATTTTGAGGGCAAATCACGTGCAAATGAAGGAACAGGAGAAGAAAACTAGGTTCCTTTGGGCGAATATGCCTCAGTGTTCCAGCGAGAGAAGAAGGAATCCGGTTGGTACATTATGATTCAAAAGTATAAAAAGTATATAGGAACCTACTAAAGCCACTGACATAATATAGTTTTTGCCTGCAAAATCATATTCCTTCGTCTCCCGCTGCATTTTTTGTGCATTGTACAACAGCACAATGGGAATAAGGCATGCTTGAATTAATGAATAGTGCAAAAAACACGATTCGTATTCCGAAATATTGTGAACAACTATTTCAATCCTTCGATTCCTCTGTAAACAAATGGAAAAAGTGAGGTTGTGTTTCAATGTTTTACAGAAAAGTGAGGTTGTGTTTCAATGTTTCACCTCCAGGTTCGGTCATCGTATCGTGCACGCGTCCTATTAGAGAAATTGAAAAGACAAAGAGCAGAATATATGTCTTATTCTTTGATTCACTCAAGCATCGTGATTTAAAAAATCTGAAAGGACAAAAGTTCTGCTGATGTGTCCGAACTCTTATCTACTATTATACTATCCAGTGACTCTAATATTGACCTATTTGAGAAGATCCTGAATACTGTATGTTCTATGATTGTAGGTACGTTCCGAGTAGTAGGTGCCCGAGGCAGGCGGCACGTGTTCCTTTTCGAGAAGGTGCTGCTGCTGGCCAAGAGCAAACAGGGTGGCGCGTTGGCATACAAGAGCCATATCATGGTGAGTAACTATGATATACTATTATGTGAAACAAAATTCAATTGAAAATTCAGTTTTCTCTCACTGTGTATTATTATGACGTATACGAGCAGTATCAGTAGTAACACTGTCTGAAGACCACAAGGGAAAAAGGGGGAAAACGCATTTCAAAGTTGAAAACCTCGTAACTTTTTGGAAGTTGAAGGAAACTGAAATCAAACCACCTAGATGCATTTGATAATGAGCAATAAAGTTGAACAATTAGAAATAAAAATCATATTTGAATGGAAAAATCATCGAAAACAAAAACTAAGTCCAAAGATTCGAGGGAAAATGGGGACTGTCCAAAAAAATTGTCCAAAAACTGCTCTGGTACATTTCTCCATTCTTGTCTGACTACCTAATGAGCGGTGAGTTGTCATATAGTACAGCTAGCATCTCTATAATTTGATCATTTTCTATAAATTCTACGCGATATGAGTGGAAATCATCATGTAGCAATCTCATTATTTCCATCAAGCAGACGTACTCAACAAGCTCAGTCAACACACCTTTTTGTCGTCAACCTCAAAATATGTCCAACAACTCTTTACCAAAACTCGTTTATACATATAACGGCAGAGCTTTGGATTTTTTTGCCTAACAGATTATTCCCAAGAACTTATAATCCCCAAAAGTTGAGAAAAATCCCAATAATTATCTTCTCTCCCTATCCTCCCTAGCTTTCCACAATGTTCCCCGAACATTATAGGAATTCCGTTTTGTACGCTCCAAGAGATGAAGAAAGGTGGCCGTATCTCTTTTTTTCCTCATATTTCGTTTGCCTGAGAGACCACTTTGACCTTTTGACAGTGTGAAAACAACCTATTAAAACCACAATGGAATCAGTATTCGAGCAGGCACTATAAGCGTGGACATTTCGCGTTTTTCCATGTGAACGTATTTTCGAACGAGCACATTAGCTGACTATGCTGCGTTATTGCTTAGGACTTCTGTTTTTATACTCAAATATAGTAAGGCTATCATCAGATGGCGGTGTCTAGTCAACTTCCACTTTATTGTGACATTCCCACTTTTTTCCCTGTGGTCATCATCTGTTTGCTAATCAAAGAGTTCAAACATTTATTCTTACAGAATTTTTGGGAGTTTCACACCTTGTTTCTATATCATATCATGAATAATACTGTCTGTAGGCTGATTCGAGGAGATTGAACAATAATTTTTTCAGATTTCTGGGGATTTTCTCTCCTTGTTTCTAGTATCAATAACACTGTCTATAAATTAATCAAGGGGGCAAAACATTCAGTTCTCCAGATTTCTTCGGATTCTCTCTCTCGTTCCTATATTCCCTAATTTTTTTCTATTATTCTACTTCTCCAAAAGTCAATTCACATTGTTTTGTGTTGTGTACTCATAGAGTTGAAGGTATACATATATTTTTATTTTATAGTGTTCAAATTTGATGCTGGTCGAGCAAGTTAGGGGTGAGCCGCTTTCATTCCAAGTCATTCCATTCGACAATCCCCGACTTCAATCGACTCTCAAGGCTAGATCGCCCCAACACAAGAGAGAGTGGACTTTGCAGATCAAGAGAGTCATCTTGGAGAACTACAGTGCCGTCATTCCGAACCACGCTAGGCAATTGGTGCTGCAACTTGGCCAAGATTTGAATGAAAATGGTAAGTTCTGGAATCTTTCATGAAAAAGTTTACTTATCACACGCCCGGACGCTGGGGAAATGCTGAGAAATGTTGAGGTATCGAAGCTATTCTCGTTTGCATTGTCCTGTACTGTATTATATCTTCGTTCAATTTGTAGGAGTGGATAGGAATCAGCTCCTAAATTTGTATTATGCACAAATTGAATCACGGCTGAAATATGGCATTTGCGAGGTGTATTTTCCAAATTCCGCGGATGAGTTCATGCAAAAGTATATTTGAAGATTTCAATATACTGCCAGATCCTTGTTTATATATATATTTGAATTATGTGGATAAGTTTTCGAGAACAAACATGAATTTATGCTCAACATGGATGTACACGAACATAATACGAGACATAAAAGTGACATCAGAATGAAAAAGACGAGGCTGAATATTTCTTCTCCAAATATATTTGGCCCAAAATTGTTTTATACTCAACCAAAACAGATATAAGGTCTTGTGACTCCCTAATACTCATCAAAAGAATACCTCAACTATTTCTGGCAGATGAGTCGTTTCATAATATAAACGAATTTTTATTGCCTGATAACGTGTGATAAACACACTCATCGTATTTTTTAATAACATTTCATTGTATGTCTTATTTACATTGTATGATTCATTTTTATCTTTTCATCTAATGCTACGAATCATTTACACTTTTTTGTATATGTACTTACATAATTTTACTATTTCCTATACATGTAAAATGTCAGAAGGATAATGAACTACTCACTTACTTAAACTGACAGCCATCTTCGAAACAACGACTGCATGGGTAATAAGCATGAATATGTGCTGATTGTGTTCTCCACATTGTTTTTCTGTTGATGGGGAAACTTATCATGAAAGTCACAAACAACACGAATCATTCTAATACACTATGAATATTAGCCACCTCTATTTTTCACAGAGGACACAAACAACGAAAAGTGGTCTTACAAGCAATATTCCACGCCTCATTACCTGGAAAGGAGAAGCAGGGTGCGGAAAACGCGAGACTTCAGCAACAGAAGAGCCTCCTCGCAGGACAGATCCTTCCTTTCCCCAGGAAACTGGAGAAGAAAGTCCGAACCGAGCATGATACCCCAATACAACACCAAAACCATGCCCAAGAAAATAACGAAGATAAAGAAAGCCAAAGAAATACAAAGCGCGACTTTCTACACGGACCTGTCAGACTCCGAAGTTGTTGACGAATCGCTGGAGAGCCTGCCTCAGAATACCAGCGAGCTGGCCATCAACGAGGAAGAGCAGGAAGCGGCGAATGGCGACTTGGAGAAGATAGTTTCGGACATTCTGATGCAGAATCAAAGTTTCCACAAGGCTTTTTACCGGCAGAATGGCAGGAAGAGCGCGTTGAGCGACACGAGCGCGGCGTGGCACGAGGATAAGTTGAGGTTGCCGGCCAAATCGGATTCCTTGCCAAGGTCGTTTCAATTGAACGACCAGATAGAGGAGGGAGTAGACTGCAAGAATGAAAGGCTGATGCAGGATATGTCGTTGAAAGAGAATCCTGATGTTTACATTGAAGAGCAACACGAAGGGTGAGTTGAGAAATTATACTACTGTTCTTTTTCATATTTTCCATCGATCTTCGGAACACCAATAGTTATTTCTTGACAATTATGTTTCCCCTTTAATTTCTTGTTCTTCTTATTGATTTCTTGCAATTCATCTTTCATCCTCACCCTTATTTTATTTTGTTACCTCTATACTACGGGCTTTCCGTATCCCGTATCTTTATTTATCGAATTTTCATTCGTTTATTTTTTTAAATTTTGAATCCTTCGATTTCTATATTTCTTGATTTCTTGAAGTAACGATTCTTATAAGTTCCTTGTATCCCTAACTACGTAATTATTATATGTTTAATTTTCTCATTTCCATGATTTCTCAATATACTTGATTTCTTGAACTTTTGATTCATTTCCCAGTTTCTCGATTTCCGAATTTCCTGATATCTCGATCCCTTCATTTTTTGATTTCAAAAGTTTCAAATCTCTTAATTTCTTGAATCCTCAATTTCTCAATTTTTCTATTTCTCAATTGCTCAATTTCCCCATTTCTCAATTCATCAATGACTAAATTCGTTGATTCATTATTCCGTCAATTTTTTATTCCTCATTTTCTCAGTGTCTTGATCATCAATTTTTTGATTTCATCTCTTAATTTCCTAATATCGCAATTCCATGACTTCTTGATTTCTTAATCTTGATATCTTAATTTCCTAATATCCTGATTTCTCAATTTATTACCCGCGATGTTTCACGAACATCATTTAGGAATTTCGTTTCGTGCGTTTCAGGAGATAATTCTCAATCTCCTTATTTCAAAACTTCTCAATTTCCTCATTCCTTATTTTCTTGATTTCTTAATTTCTTGATTTCTCAATTTCCTGATATCCTGATTCCTCAATACCTACGTTGATTTCTCAATTTTTCATTTTCTAATTTTCCTAATTTCCCAATCTCTCAATTCCTCAATTTCTAGATTACTTATAATTTCTTGATTCCTCAATTTCTCGATTTCTCAATTCCTCCATTTCTCATTTTTTTAACTTCCTAGTTTCTCAATCTTACCTCAATTTCTCAATTTCCTGATTTCCTATTCTCCTTATCTCTCAATTCCTTTATTTCCTAATTCCCTTACTTCTTGATTTCTCAATTTCTTGATCGAATAATTTCTTGAATTCTCGATTTCTCAATTTCTCAATTTCCTAATTTCTTAAGTTCGTAATTTCGCAATTCCCTGAGTATTTAATTTCTTAAAAACCTTATTCCACTTGATTATTTGAGAATTTCTCTCGTTATATTATAGAAACGAGGAGAGAAAATCCCGAATAATCAAGTGAAATGAATTTACCACCTCCTCCATTAACTTACAGACAGTATTTAATCGCTTAATTTCTCAATTTCTACATTTCTCAATTTCCTAATTTCTCAATTTCGTAATTTCTCAAATTCCTAATTTCCTAGTTTCTTAATTCATCAATTTCTCAAGTACTTAATTTCTCAATTTCTCAATTTCTCAATTTTTTTATTTCTCAATTTCTCAATTTTGCAATTTCTCAATGTCTTAATCTTCTAATTTTCCAATTAACCAATTTCCCAATTTCTTAATTCCACAGTTTCACAAGTTTTCAATTTCTTAGTTTCTTGATTTCTCAATTTCAAGATTTCTCAATTTCATGATTTCTCGATTTCATGATTTCTCAATTTCATGATTTCTCAATTTCATGATTTCTCAATTTCATGATTTCTCAATTTCATGATTTCTCAATTTCATGATTCCTCAATTTCTCAATTCACCATATTCTTATTCTATCAATTTCTTGGATTCATAATTTCCTAATCTCCCAACTTCTCAATTTCCTGATATCATAATAATCTTATTTGCTCGATTTCTTGTTCTCGTGATTTATTCATTTCTATATTTCTTGTTCTTGTGATGTCCCCGATTCCATCATTTCTCAACTAGGTATTCAATGCCCTATTTCCCTAATTTCACAATATTTCTACATCTGTATCTTCCAGTCTATCAAATTTTTAATTTCTCAATTGCCCAATATGTCTCAAATCCTCAAGTATTCATTCTCTTAGTTTCGTCATTTCCTGCTCATTTTGTAAATTTTTTCCATCCGCCATCGCTCCATTCTTTCATTCTATCCATTGATTCAATAGATGTTGATTTCCTCCACTTTTGCGATTTTTCGATTCCTAAACTTTTCTTGCAGCGACCTCTCATCTCAACTAGACGACACCGAGCACCCCGACCACAGGATCTACCGCAAGACGGCCATCCGCGTCAGCCTGCTGCAGCGCGTGCGCCAGATCATGTCCGAGGAGCAGCGGCGTCAGCGCGGGGGCCGCGCGGCTCGCCAGCGGGGCTCGCGCGGCACTGGCGAGCGCATCGCCCACCCCGACTACGTCGATCCGCAGAAGTTGCTGGCGGGGCGGGGGGCGGAGGTCAAGGGGGAAGACTCGTTGGGGGAGCCGGAGGTAAATGGCTTTTATCTAAACTACCCAACACTAATTTCGTCGCATCCCAAAACTTAGTCGCTGTTAACCCTATACTGATCATACGTCTCAGAGACGGCATATCAGCATCCGATTTGTTGGAGTACCCCTGCTTTTCAATATCGGCCATTGTCCTACCACGTCATTCAGTACCCTGTAATTGATCTATGTATGTGGTTGAGTTTTAGAAATATCTTGAGTGAAAGATAGATTGTCGTCTCATAGACGTATATAGTTGAAGAATATCATTATTACCGAGGGACCAAGATTATATCACGAGGCCTCAGCTGTTAATAGTTATTTAACCAACTAGTTTATTAATGAGGGCGATTAATGATCGAGATATTTTAACGTGCGAGCAAAGCGAGCGCGTTAATGTTCGAGATCATTAATCGCCTTTTAATATACAAGTTGGTTACAAAATTTTTCCGTCGACTATATTTCTCATTTCTCCTGCAATGAAGAAAACTTGGTTCGCGAATTCATCATACATCCGGAAACTGCTAAATATCACCAAGTAGCCTTGTTACTGACATTAGTGACATTTGACATTTGTCGAAATGATCAACATAGAAAATAAATTCCTTGTGTTAGAAAACAGGGATTAAAATCGTGTCAGAAACTTGGAAAGGTGAACCCGTTAACAGAAAATCTTCAATGAAATCCATATTTTCGATTTAAATGCAGATTACGTAAGTTATAGCATGAACAAATGAATGCACGCGGTGTATGTTTGGTTGCCTATAAAACAATCGTATATTAATAGACAAATCGTTCATTAATAGGGGTCATTAATTAATGAACGATTTCATATACATTAAACTTAGTCGTTAATACGAGGTCGACGGAAAAATAGATTTATATATCAAAGACAATAGTAGTCGTGGACAAAGTATAGGTTAATTATACCACTCGCTATGCTCGTTACATAAACTTAACCTTCTTGAATAACCCAGGCAACCAGATGACGAATGATCACGTCACTGTGATGTCCCTAATTTGTGATTTTTCGTCAGAGACGTCACACACCAATTTATGACGTCAATATGACGTAATATCTATGACGTGATAATCACGTCATCGTTTCAACGTCGAGTGAACGTCACTTAGATGGTAAAAGAAGACGTCAGTTTGCAGACGTTGCAGGGACGTCCTGTCGACGTCCATTTTTCCCAGACCTTCTCTAAACCTTGGATACTATATATCATCATGTGAAACAGAAGTATAACTCATGAAAGCAAATCAACATGGAAGTTTCATTGGAATTATTAATATATACCCGAAGAGTATAAACTTGGACACTGTATATCTCGGAAACCAACAAGCTATGTATATATACAAATGATTGTTTAGGTATACCTATATTGAAACCGTCACTCTTATGACGTTGCAGTGACGTATCTATGACGTCTAAAAATCAACGTCGGTTGCTTACATCTCGCCGACACAAACTACATAATTTTTGATACAAATACGAGTAACTGATTGCATTCTGATGGAGATGCGTACTGAAGAATAGCGCTGCTGAATAGGCGATTGAATGAACATGACACAAAAGTCACCAAGCAGACTCAACAATGCATAATCAATATTGTATAATGTTATATCAGAAGCCAGTGGTGTTTATCACACCATGTTTAAGGAATCTTTTTTACGTATGATCTTCAAATGTAATCGACATTTTGACGTCATTATGACGTCAGTCGGACGTCACAGTTTGGTGAGTGAATGACGTCAATACGACGTGATTGATATGACGTCATTTGGCTGTGACTTATTCACGTCATTATCACGTCATGAGGCGTCAACTACTGACGTCACCATGGTCATTCAAGTGACGTGAAAAAGACGTCACTGGAACGTCATCTGGTTGCCTGGGTAATAGCCCTCCCACTGAGCAAGAAACATCCTTAGGAGGTTCATTAACGTTAAAATATTGTATCCCCGGCGACGTTTCTGCGAACACAGCACTTGTACGTCATAATAACATAACTATGTGACATTGTTACTTTTAACGAACCTTCTATATCATAAGTTAAACTTTGCTACTTTATATTAACGTCACTTATGTGATTGTTATGTTGGTGGACATATAACGACTTTAAGACGGTCTTTGAGATGTCGATAGGCCTTCGACCAAACGTTACTAGTATGTTTTTTTGCACAGTGGGCTCAAATGCTTGTTGAATAATATATTATCATCTATATCTTATTGCAATAGACCTCCTCCACAATAAATCCCTTACTGAAATCAGATTTCGTTCTAGTAAGGGAAAATAGGTCTGTTTCTTCATAGCTGAATAATGTGCATGTGATCCAACCGAATTCACCCCATAAATCAAACATGTCTCGTTCCAGCTATTGGACCTGTCCTTAAACGAGAAAGAAGTACTTAACGAGATCGACAAGCGCCTCAACGGCACCCCATCGACCACCTCCACCCCCACCCTTACCCCCAATTCTGGTCCTCCCGACGACAGCTTCTACGAGAGCATCCTCGAGGACTCGCTCGCCGAGGAGTTTGTGCGCGACGGCAGCGGCAGGCTGATCGCCAAGCAGGACTCGTTCAGCAGCACCGAGAGCAGGACGTCGTTCCTGCAGCGGTACCGGGCTCCTTCGACTCCTTCGACGCCGGAGAAACGGCAGGTAATAGTCAATATTTATAAAAATGAAGCATTTACTTTCAAGTAAAAGGTTTTTCATAGATGAAAACCCAAAGTCTCCACAACTTTTATTTAATGATCATAGATCATATAAGGGAACATGTTTCGGGCTTATATAAGCCCATCAATTTGGAAACTTTTTGCCCCTATGTAAATTTGCCTACATGTTTGAAGAAATATCACTAGATTTGGGATGAAGGGTGTGGTTTCAACTTGATGGTTGTCCAGCTCATTTTGGAAGGGATGTGAGCAACTGGCTAGATAATAATTACCCAATCAGATGGATTGGTCGGATGGGGCCGGTTGGGTAGCGTCCACGATCGCCAGACCTGACCCCTTTAGACTTTTTTGTTCAAGGATTCTTGAAGGAGAAAGTTTATCGAACCCCGGTTGAAACAACCCAGACAGCACTGGATATTCATAGAATATTCTCTAAATATGCTAAAAAGGAGGAGTATATTCCGAATATTCATCGATTATTCCTAGAATATATACATGCCTCTGGAACATCTAAAAGGAATATTCCAAAGTGAATAGTCGGACATGTTCAGGGAATATTCAGGTATGAATCTTCCAGGAATATTCCCAACTGAATATTCTCTGTTGTATATTCATGAAATATACCCAACTGAATATTCTGTGGGGTATATTCATGAAATATACCCAACTGAATATTCTGTGCGGTATATTCATGAAATATTCTCAACTGAATATTCTGTGGTGTATATTCATGAAATATTCCATGAATATTCCTATGTTTCTCAACACATAAATACCATTTATTATTTCAGAGATGTGAGTATCGAACATCAATTAGATGTAAGGAGATTTTGAAACAAAAAGTGTTTATGATCCGATTTCGAACAATGCTCTCACAAGAACTTGATATGTATAAAATTATTCAATTCGATTACTGGCCTAGTGGTCAAGGCGTTGCTCTGATAGTCTTGAGGTCACGAGTTCGATCCCTACTTGGGTCACTTTTTTTTATTTTAGAATATGTTTATTGGAATATTCCAGGAACATTCAACATAGAATATTCTTTTGGGTATATTCTATGATTATCTGAGGAATTCCCATTCGCATATTTAGAGAATATTCCACAGATATTCCGGAATATTCCAGATTATTTCTAGAATATTCCAATATTCCGAAAGGAATATGATAGGGATATTCATGGAATATCTGGTGCTGTCTGGGAAGGGAAGAACTTATCCATCGAATAAGAAATGTGTGTCATGAAATAACAGTTCAGCATTTAAATAACGCGAGACGTTCTATTCAGTGATGGTTTGAGCATTTACTGTAAGATATTTTATCGAAATTCATTGTGTTTATTTTTTTTATTTTTTTCCTATCATTAAACTTCAATAACTAAAAAATGTCAAATGAAGTGTATTACAACTAATTTATTCTTGATATTTATCTCGAAATCCATACAGTTTTCGAAAAACATACATAGGGACAAAAAGTTTCCAAATTGCAGAGACAATCGGAATCTATGTCCCATTAAAAGCAGAGGCGGCATGCAAAAAAGTTCAACAGGGTTAAATTGGGTACGACCCCTGAAAGTCAATCACCCTGTGGGTATTCAAAACCGCTCAATAGCCTCAAATATTGAGTTTTTGAAGTGTATTAGATGTATCAAATTTCAATCAATTATTCCGAAAATAGTAGGAGAAAATTCAAAAAACATTAAAAAAATCTGAAACTTTGACACCCTGTAAATCGGAAACGAAGCTCCCGCGCATATATGTTTGTTCGGGATTTTCATCTTGAAAAAATGTCTTCTTCAAGCTGTCAAAGTCCTGCTACAAAAAACTGAAACACCCTGTATACGTCTTAAAGACCTCTGGAAGATGTACTTTGGCTGATTGGGATGTCCCAAATGGGAAGAACTCTTGAATATACCCTCTGGCCGTTAAGATGTTGAAATTCTCTCGTTCTATCAACAGGTCATCAAGAGGCCCACCAAGGCTCCCCCGCCTATCCCAGTCAAACCAGCGGGCTTGTCTGCCAGCAGTGGCACTCTGTCGAGGGTCTCCTGCAAAAGCCCTCTCGAATCCACCAAGACGTTCGTCAGGAGCACCTCCAACGGGAATTGCGGTGGCAAAGAAGTTATTCCCAGTTCTGTTTCCTGCAATAGCTCGCTCGAATCCACCGAGACCTTCGTCAGGAGCACCTCCAACGAGAATTGTGGGGGCAGGGAAGTTGCCAGTTCTGTTTCCTGCAAAAGCTCCCTCGAATCCACCAAGACCTTCGTCAGGGGCACCTCCAACGAGAATTGTGGCGGCAGGGAAGTTGCCAGTTCTGTTTCCTGCAAAAGCTCCCTCGAATCCACAAAGACCTTCGTCAGGAGCACCTCCAACGAGAATTGCGGCGGCAGGGAAGGCAGCAGGGAAGTCGCCAGTTCTTCTAGTTGGGTGAGGGCGATGGTGGGTAGGTTCGAATGATTTTTGGATGGGGTTTAGTTGATTGTTCAGTTGGGTTCGAGTTTTTTTTTTTTGGAAATACGAGAATGATGTTCATAGTCAAGTTGGCTACATACCGGAAACTCTTTTCGGATATAATTGCACGAGTGCATAAAAATTACCGATAATTTTGCAAGAAAGCCTGTTATCTAAAAATTGCAAGAGTATATTTCCATATTTTGGCGAAGGAGTCCGAGTGTGTCTAGACATCTTTATAAATGTGTTATTATGGCGACGGGATCTCTTCGCAGTTCAATCTTCGCTCGGAATATTCTTTTTTCTGTGACAGGAAAAAAGTTTGGCATTTCATCCCTGTTGGCAGGTTATAAAATGTCACTTTTCATAAATTACTTTTTTCCCGTGGGAAAAAAGTGAGTACTTTTTTCCCGGATAAATATCACATATATATACACTATTGATAGCTTTTGTTGTGCTATAGTTCCGAAAAATGAGTTAATAATACCGTCTCCGAGAAAGAACTGCAAATCCTTTTATCTTCCATTCGACTTCGCGGTTACGTATATTGCTAAATAACCACTGCATTCGCAATTTCTTGAAATCAAATCACAAAATTAGACTGACAGAAGTGACATCAGATATTTGATTACTTCAAATGAATGATAAAAATGCCTACAACGCGGTGTCCCTACTGTTAAAATCTTGAAATTTCACGTCGATAATTTTCAGATTTAAAAATAATGTAATATCTTCTCAATATTGATTCGTCCTTTCTTCTGTCACAGAAAAAAAAGTGTAACACGGGAAAAACATTAGATTTTAGCTCACGGTTTGTTGTCTCCCTCCGCTATACGCGTCGGGAGACAACACAACCTGGAGCTAAAATCTACTACTTTTTTCCCTTGTATAATAAATAACTATATTAATTTCACGAAAAGTTATTCTTTATAAAAAAATCTGCATGGGTTAGTGATATTTATTTTCAGTTGTATACGAGGTATGTCAAAAAAAAATGATGGGTACAACCAACCACCCTAAAGGCGATGCTCTGTTCGGTCTTAGCACCAACAATTTCTATATTTTCAAGTTTTTTCATTGATATGTACAGTGTGACCCACTTCTAATGGAACCACCCCTGTATCTTACGTAAACGTTGGGTAAGGATCCTGAAATTTGCTGGAGCGAGAGATATACTAAAAATGCACACTATGACCAAGTGGGGTCATCTTCAGTGATATACACTGCTCGCCAACAGCCATGAAACCACCTCAATTTCCGGAAAATGATATTAGGAGTCAAAATAGGTTGAAAATCACGTCGGATTCGGAATCAGGACACCCAAGTTACTAACTATTCAAAGTTTTCCTAGAAGATTTTCAGTTCAGAAAAATTAAATTTTGTCTCACTTCTCATGGAAGAACCCCCCCGTATCTCACGTTATTATTGAGGTAGGATTCTAAAATTTGAGGAAGGAGGAAGAGGAAGTCCAAATATAGAGTCAATTACGTGAGATACGGGGGTGCTTTCATAAAAAATGTGACAAAATTTTATTTTTCCGAACTGAATATTTTCCAGGAAAAATTTGAATAGTTCGTAAATTGGGCGTCCTGATTCCAAATCTGAAGTGATATTCGACCTATTTTGACTCCTAATATCATTGTCTGGAAATTGGGGTAGTTTCATGGCTGTTGGCGAGCAGTGTATATCACTGAAGATGACCCCACTTGGTCATAGAGTGCATTTTTGGTATATCTCTCGCTCCAGCAAATTTCAGGATTCTTACCCAACGATTACGTAAGATACAGGGGTGCTTCCATTAGAAGTGGGTCACACTGTATATGTTTTTCCTTCCTACGTGAGTACTGCACAACTCTCCTTTCTACCAAATGTCTAGTATGTTTTTTACATTGTAGAACAATTTTGTAAAAGGCTGATGATGGACCGTAGTGTCTGAAACATGTCCCTTATTTAGTAACTACATCACTTGAATAGATGTTGTGGAAACGACATTGTCAAAAATTTACTTTGATCCCATTACTCCAGTTTTAGAGGAACACGGACTTCCACCTGAATGAATAAAATAATGTCTATTATCGTTTCCTGATTTTGATCACAGGAGGTATTTTCAATTAGTACAATATAAATACCAAATATATTTATGAATCCTTTACTGTATATGTTCGCATGTGAACCTGGAAATGACATATGGAGATGACATTTAGGAATACTTCGTTCGAATTATTACCTTATTCGAAAGCATTTCAAATAGAGATGAGACGATGTTTTTCAGCTGAGAGACATTTCTCTTTGATGATTCTATAATGATAGAATACACTTTTTTAATAAGATATGAAGACACAAAGTCAGTCGACACCTTAATTAGTGAAATATTAATGTAGGTATTCAAGTCTATTATTTTACAATTGACCAGAAAAGTGCACAAAAAACGGCCAGGATTGTAACTTTTGAATTATTCTAGAAAGGTTTTTGAAAATTGGTGGGTAGCAAGTATACCAAATTGCTCATTAACTGATGAAACAATTTTTCTTGTATCCCTTCCAGTTTCACCGGAATCGACCCCAACTTCTGATTTTTGAATGGGACACCCTGTATTGTATTCCATAATTGGTTAGGGATTTTCAAGACGAATTCAACGATACCAGGTTTGATAAGGTTATTTCAAACGATTACAAAGATATTTGAGTTCGAAATTTCCATATGCACAATGGGTGTGACTTCGCAATATCAAAAATTCTTTCTCTGTCGCACTCGTTGAGCATATGGGAACTTAGATCGCGAATATCTACGTAATCGTTTGAAATAACCCTATATATCAAACCCGTTATCGATGAATTCGTTATGACAATCCCTAACCGATTATGGAATACAATACAGGGTGTCCCATTTGAAATTAAAAAGTTGGGGTCGTTTCCACCAATTTTCAAAACCCTATTTCGAATAATTCAAAAGTTACAGTCTCGGCCGTTTTTTGTGCACTTCTCGCTGTATATACTTTAATAAGCATAATATAATGTTTTGTTTGATTGGAAGCAAATAGCAAATTCAAATGTATATAAATGTATACGAGTCTGTCATTGCCGATAAAGAGAGAGACATATCGCAGTCATCTATATTATCAATCTATATACATCAGGGTGTTTAAGAAATGTTAACGATAAATGAAGTGGATAATCGGAGATAATATCAATGAAACGAAGTGAAAGAAAATATTTCGAAAGAACTTGATCTTCAAAGAGTTTCTGAAATTTTTGTGAATGACTGATTAGAGTTAGAGTCCCAAGTACCTACCTGAAGTGGTGTGAGGGAACTTAAATTATTATTTTTTAGGATTTATATCATCATAATTTTATTTCTCATTTTATTAATTGCTCCAATTCCGGAATCACCTTGTACATGAGCAGAAAGTATAGAGAATTCCAACTCAATCTGAATATAGTTGTTCAATTTTGACGTCGATAGTAATAATTATTGAACAGTTGAAATATGATACTCTGCCTAGATGGTCGAAAGTGGCTTTTGAGCAAAATATCACTTAAAAACTCACAAAGGGTGTTAGATCGAATTAAAAAAAATGTATATATAGTGTGACCCACTTAAGTCCGGAGCACCCTTATAAAATCTATAGTTTTTAACGAGTTTCTCTGTTTTTTGTTTCAGCAGAAAGACTATCCTGAGATCTACGTTTACACAAATTTGCGAAATAAAATTCCAGTCTACAGGGAAAACTTTGTTATTTTTTTCATGTTAAAAATTGCGAAATATTATTATCGATATTTTCCGAAAAAAATCGACCCCACCACTGAATTCAGCATCCTTCAATTAGATTGAGAGGAAAATTTCATCGATAAATATCAATTGGCAACAAAGTTATAACAACATTAATTTTGATTATTCACTATTTTTCATGAATATTTCAGACAAATTCTGAGAAGCGGCAACATTGGCAACACAAATGTTGGAAATCATCAATAGGTTTCTGGTATACATTTGAATTGATAACACAAATTATTATCGAGTTATTACATCTGAAACGGAATTTATCTTGGTATTCATGGAAAGATTCATAAAATGAAAAATCCATAACGTCGAAAAATCGGCCTTGTTCATCCAAGTAATTAGTGTTAAAAAATCGGATAGTCTGTATAGTAAGATAATATCAGAAGCCAAAAACATAAAGAGCTTTCAGAAATTGTTGGTTTACATTGATAATTAACTTATTATGAGAAGCTGTTTTTCCGACTTCATTACTTCATTCCAAAAGGGTACCATTCTAGAGATTATAACTCGATGATAATTTGTGTTATCAATTCAAATGTATACCAGAAACCTCGATGATTTCCAACATTTGTGTTGACCATGTTGCCGCTTCTCAGAATTTGTCTGAAATATTCATAAAAAATTGTGAGTTATAACTTTGTTGCCAATTGAAATTTTTCAATGGAATTTCGCGCTCAACCTAATTGAAGGATGCTGAATTCAGTGGTGGGGTCGATTTTGTTTGAAAAAAATCGCTAATGATATTTCGCAATTTTTAACATGAAAAAAATAATATAGTAGGTATGCCCTGTAGATTGAAATTTGATTTTGCAAATTTGTGTGAACGTAGATCTCCGGATAGTCCTTCTGCTGAAACGAAAAACAAAGAAATCGGTCAAAAACTATAGATTTTATGAGGGTGCTCCGGTCTTATGTGGGTCACACTGTATATAAACGTGAATCTATTCCAGACAATAACAAAAATTTGACAATAATAATTCTCATTTATGGTGCTTATAATAATCATATCTAACTGAACAATCAAATTAACCTTCCATCTGTCATAATTTTCCATTGTGCTATATTTACGGCTGTTTGATAATAATAATGATAGTTTATGAATGTTGTTATCACAAAATATCTTTCAATATTGAAATGTGTTCTTCTATACGTTATAATAACGGATTTGTACAGATATTTGAGAGTATTACCTATATATTTTAAGCTTTCTTCACTTCTCGCACAATTTAAGTAGAGGATTTGAAAGTAATTCTAACAATGTTGATGTATAGAGAAATCTACTTGAAATCGTTTATATTTTAAATGTGCCAAATAAGACTATTTTAACTGATGAATTAAATTATTGTTGAATATAAGAACTTACTAATAGTTTTGTGAAATATTTCGAGAATATATTATAATGCAATATTATATGATATATTATATTTACTTGAGTTTCATTTTCTTAGCTGCCAAATAATTCCCCACATGTATTTTATCCTGAAATATCCTGAATTCCATCTCAGTGATCCAACTCACCTCTCCTGTATCAATAATTTACAGAATGATGAATAAACAGGGTGATCTACACAAACAATTCACCTTGAATAACTCTCATTCAGGGTATAGGTACTTTACTCTGCACCTCTCAATAATTAAGGATCCTAGAGTTGAAGAGACTGAACTTTCATTTACTAATGTTATTTTATATACCTATACAAAATCATTTGTATTTCTAAAATGATTGAGAATTAACTTCGATTTTTTCCAGTGGATCGATATTCTTATATATACTTACAGGGTCATTCATTAGGTTGGCATCATATGATTAACACATATGGGAAACACTTTTGATAATAATTTATTATGAAATTTGACGTGAGCGTTAAGTTGTGCTTCAAGAAAGATGACAAATGGCCTTCTCTCTCGGAGTCACGTGACCTTCGCTACATGTCAAAAGTTGAATTATTTCAAATTTATTGCTGAAAATAGGATTAATTGTTCAGATTACAAAAAAGTTTGATAAGATCAGTTGTTTCTATTCCAAATTAACATAATCGTCTCAAATTTAAACGTTCTATTGCAACTTTTAGTTCTTGATATTTTTTGATTTCTTCTTCTAATTGTGATAACTTCGAGAAAACTTCCTCAACTTTGGTTAGATATGAAAAATAGTTTGCTATTTTGATAGATGACTGACATTATTTTAGTACTGAAGAAATCAATTTGAATAAATTTCACTCCTGAATACACCATGCATACATCAACTTTGCTTCAAACATGACAGAAATTTGAGGCGGCGATAATTATTTTCTGAAGAAAATCATATTTTTGTCGATAATTAGTGATTGTAAGTTAGTAGCATGATGAAGCTACTAGAATAAAATAGTTTTGTAGGTGTTAATATTTGTTAGTATTACAGAGACTTTTCTCAGTGAACTTTCTTGACATTTAAACAAATGAGCCTATTTTCAGCAATCAATTTGGTAAAATTCAACTTTTGTGAGGTTGGATTCAGTCCAAAACATATGAAAAATTTCAAAATTTCAGTACCTCATGGTAGTATAGCCTCGAGGAAAATTGTGAAAGATGTGTTAAACCAACTTTTTTTTCAACACCTCCTAACTTGAATACTTATACCAATGCTGTTTACCAAGCAAACTCAATTAAATTTGCAGGGTCCTGCCTTTCCTAGCAATATGACGAATTATTTTTGAAACACCCTGTATATTTACCCAATTATAAAGGTCTCATGTATTGATTGGGCTGTTGTGTATAAAAAATATGAGGTTTTTAAGGAAAATAGATTAATCAATGGAATATCCTGATATAGAAGTTCTGCTTTATCTTTATACTGAATTATTGAGGTTGTAATCATAAACTAAATTTCAATTTGGGTTGGAGATAAGTAGTTATAGAATAGATTTTCATAACTCCAAAATCAGCATTCAAAATGAAATTGTTGATGAAATGACATCATGAATGCCCACTCTTTTGCATTTTCTGATGCAGGCAACCTGCAATGCAGATAATTATCAATTTTACCAACCACTATTATAACTATCTCATATAACATAAGATCATTTGAGGGTGGGTCATCAATATAACTAAAACTGCTAAATGTGGAATGATGCTTCATTGAAGTACCACGACACATTATAGTCTTTATGACACCAAAGGCACTTCTTTAATTTTTCAAATAAATGATCAATTAATATTATCATAGATCTAGTGTGTTTTTAGATCTATGATATTATTAACTTCTATTGAGTAGAATTTGATGATAAAAGTTGCAAATTCAAGGAATCTCAGAACACAAGTTGAAAAATGGAACAAGAAATCCATTATAAATATATATTTAAGGAATCCAGACAAAAATGATATGGTGATAAAATTTACATAATATCTACAACAATATTTTATACAATTATTTAGAATAACCTAATGTTTTCAAACAAAAAACAGTGAATAAAAACAAGAGTAGAAATGGTACATAAATAAAGTAAATAGGTAATTATCTGTAAATTTAAAATTAAATGATTAAATACATTGATATAATACATGTGGAAAATGATAATCCAACAGAGAATCATACTAGGCAAAAAGGGAATTTCTCAACATTTATCTAACATACAATTTCAACATGGAATATATTTTTAAAATATTGGAATGTAGTTATCAATTTTTGCCCTGTGTTTCTGAGCAACACATTCTGAAATCCACACAATATTTCTGCATTCCTGCTCCTTCAACTTCAAATATGAATAGAAAACCCCGAAATGGAACTGCTGCATGAAACCATTGATGTTCAACCTTACCTCATGCTCAAAGAACTTATCTTCCAGAGTCTTATCCCCTGGGTTATTTCCTGAACCCTCAAACAGCTTGGAATACTCTGCATAGTATTCAGCAACAGCTCTGACTTGTTCATAGTCTTCTGCCCTAGCCAAGGCAGCTAGACCATCAGGGTACAGTTTCCCACAACGTGGGTAGAGCTTAGCCCTATCATCCTTACTCAACTCAGTACCAAATGAATTGATAGTGATGATGATTGCACGTCTGTCTGCTTCAAAAGCAACAATTTCACACATGACATCTGCAGTGGTGCCTCCAATTTCCTTGCACAGCTTCCAGAATGCCTCCAAGTAAGCCTTGTACAGAGTGTTACGAATAATCTCAATGTTCATCTCATCCAAGTCCTGTTCACTGATACAATCAACAAAAAATGGTGCAAGAGGTGTATCAACTAGCACTGCATTGTATAGTTCAGCAGGGGTAGCAGCTACATGGATAGCTTCCATCTGCTCAAAGCTTCCTAAAGGGTGACATTTTGGAATCAACTCACCTATAGGCCTTTGGTGTAGGGTGCCAGTAATGAGCAAAATTATGTTGTCAATCATGTAACTGTAGGTTATGAAGTCTAGGAATGTGGACAGGGGTTCCACAGCTTGGTTCCTCATGTGCTGGAACTCTATCACCAATTTTTCTCTGAGTTTTGAGTCAATTGTGGACACTGATAAGGGCGAGGGCTCATTTGCCAGAAAAGTTCCATAGTCTGTGCCTTGCAAGTGAAGTTTTAAATCTAAAAAATTCAGAGAAGGGTCATGCATCACCTTGAAAACTTCTTTGAGGAAACTACTCACCTTCCAGGGTTTCACATTGAACCAAATTGAGGTAATCTGTTTGTTTGAGGATTCCACATTTGAAGCCACGGCATAGGCCTTCTAGATAGCCGTTATCAATATTAAAGAGGCACCCCTTCATATTTTTTGTGTTATTCGTGAATGAACCAAAAAAATGTAGGAAACTCACGAGATGAAAATAACACCTCGCCCAACTGTCATATGATCGAAAATCACAAACGTCAAACTGAAAAATCACATGATAAATGTCAAAATCAATATATGCATTTGGCCAACTTAAATACATCCTTAGTTCTACCTTTCTACCAACATTAAAAAAATCGATTACAACCTTGTCGGTTACCAAGGTTGGTAGAACTTGAGATGAACTGATGAATATTGCACCACAATTGCACATTGCCGTTGATTGATATATTACGCTTACGCTGGGAAGATGCCCAACCTGTGTTATTTGCGAGTCGATACCCCCCTCATCCCCTCGTCTATCGTTTTGCCGCTGTGAGGTAGCGACTCCACTAGGAAAACGGAACATGTCTGCACTAATGGTATAGATCACTACAGATTCGTACAGAATTACAGATCCCATCCCACCGCGTGCTATCGCTCCAGAAGTTTTTGTTTATCCTTGTCTTCGACGATGAGACCCGACCCGCCCGACCGGTTCCGAAAAAGAATGTATGCGTTTCGGTCAGTGAATCCCATGTGATTCTGCAATCCGCAACAAAAACAACAACGGGTTTAGGAGTTTTAGGACCATTATGTTATTCACAGGGTGTTACAATCTGATTCCCTGCGGGTGCTAAAATGCAATTCTCAGATTCTTGATATTTCATATAAAATTAATGTCATTTCTGTCAGTTGTACGATGAATTGATGTTCATCATACATGATGTGGAAAAATTCTGAATTGAGAAAACCAAATCACGAATATGTGATTTTATAGAGGTTGTGCAAATAAAGCAACCATAGTTCAAGTTTGAACCCCCCTTGAGTGGGCATGAAACATATTCACAGCTCGATATACCTATTAAGAACATGAAAAAACCAATGGAAACATAATAATGTAAAGAAATAAACTGCGTGACAAATGAAGTGGTCCACCTGAATAATTCACTTAATTTTGAAATCAAATATCATAAAAAATACTAGTCTGATTCTGGAACGGTTCGTTTCATGTTGTGTAATAGTCTTTCAAAAATGAGATGGTCCAACTACTATATGTCCATGAAGTTTGTGTTTTCAAATATACAGGGAGAAACATTGACTCATAACAAAAATGAATATTTTCAAAGTCATCCCAATCAAATGAAAAAATTATCGGATTTTTTTCTAGGTCATATTATGAATGCTTGATGTGTTTTGCCGAAACGGTTTCGAAATTTTTTCGTTAGTATACTTCATTAACATGCAACATCTTTTTTTATGGAAAATTGACGTTTTTTTGTCCTTAATTTCAGCTGATCTGTTTATAAAATAAGAGAGTTTTTCCATGAAATCGATTCAATTTCTTTGAATTGACTGAATATCGATCTACAGGGTAATTCGAGATACCAAAGAAACGTGAAATTCAGTCATGCATATATTGTGATTTGAACTTTGAATGCTCCGTATTCCTGTTATCATTCTTGATCTCCTGATGGCATGTTAACAGAATGTTTTCTCGAATAATGAAATCATTATACCATTCGAGAATGATTCAGGAAGAGTGGGATATAGAGAATGCCATCAGGTCAATTTATATACAAAGGTTAGTAAAGAGTATGCCCTCAGGATGTCGTTCTCTCCTGCGTGTAGGCGGAGGCCCTACTAAATACTGAAATTTCCTGTTGTGTCAGTACATCGGATGAAAAGCAAATGTATGAATGGAAGTTAATGTTATTGTTATTAAATCATGCGAAAGCAATAATTCTCAATATACCTACCTTGTATATAACAGACAAAAATGAATGGTGTGGCGAACACTTATATAGTTATATCAATGCATAATAGCTCATGAAGAAAATTTCGATACATGACGATTGAGGTTACAACACTAGATCACTGATTTGACATCCAGAAAGGAGTTGAACGACATGATTTCAATATTGGACAAAATATTCTGTTAACATATGTCATCAGTAGATCAAAAATGATAACAGGAATAATGAAATCAATCATTCTACAACAATATATACAGCATTAAAAGTTTCTTCGGTATCTCGAATTACCCTGTAGATCGATATTGGCTCAATTCGAAGAAATTGAAGTGATGAATGCCTTCCTGAATCGATTTCACGAACAAACTTTCTCATTTCATGTGGACTTGAGAATATTCATATCCATGAAGTTTGTGTTTTCAGATATACAGGAAGACCATCTCATTCTTAAACGATTATTACAAAACATGGAACAAATCGTTCCAGAATCGGACTAGGATTTTTTATAATATTTGATTTTATAAGGTGGACCACATCATTTGTCACGCAGTTTACATTGATTCGCATTATTTAGCTGATGAACATGTTTTTTTCTAATTTATTAATTTTTTTTTGTTACGGGAAAAAAGTTTGGCATTTCATCTCTGTTGGCAGGTTATAAAATGTCACTGTTCATAAATTACTTTTTTCCCGTGGGAAAAAAGTGAGTACTTTTTTCCCGGATATATATCACATATATATATATACACTGTTGATGGCTTTTGTTGTGCTATAGTTCCGAAAAATGAGTCAATAGTACCGTTACTACTTCTTTCCCTTGTATAATGAATAACTATTTTTGGATTACAAGAGTTGAAGCTGCAAGCTTATATAATCTCTTTTCTATAGTATCTAGTTTGTTGAAAAATATGAATTCTGACAAAACACAATGAATATATGAAAATGAATATCTTTTGAAATTGAGAATTTGCATTCTCATGTCATGAGGACCTGTACATACTCCTACCACAAATAGAGGCCCCTGAAGGGAATACCTAATGATCATCAGCAGAAGCCGCAGATGGGCCTTTCTCCTCTTCTTCAATAATTCATAGGGTGAATTTTGAGATTTGGCTAAAACCTCTTTTGGTCATAACTTTCCAACAGCTTCTTCGATTAGTCTGATTTTCAACACGTTTATATCACAGGTTAGGTATACATAATATTATACTTTATTGGTATACGTATGTTCGTTCGTTTGTAACGGAATCTTCGAAAGTGATTTTCACCCACTTCAAAACGACCGATTGATTGAAAAATTTGGCAGGTGTACAGGGTATCCAATTTTTGATGCTTTTGCGCGATATCTCAGTTATCTTTGGAGATAGGGTGTTGAGGTTATCATATATTACTGCCTTACTATTTTCTGAAACGATCAATATGCCACCCACATGATTTTCACAGTCTGTTTTTGAGATACAGGGCGAAGTTGAAAATTTCGACTACTATATATTATTATGTATTGATGAGCTATAGGAAATCTAAATCGAACTGGATGGAAATATACAGTGTCCCATTTGAAAAAAAAAAATTGGCTTCATTTTCTAAAAATGAGCGATTATAGTAATAAAATGAGTATAGGTACGCCACTAAACGTATATAGAAAGTATATTATAAGGCCCCGTTCTCATGCTGCCGATAAGTTGAAGAGTAACCAATTGAAGTTTGATAAAATCTTTATATTTTGGCAAGCAATACTTTCCTATTCCAAAAAAAGGAGTCCTGGTCCGGTTTTTGTTTTCATGAATAGTCCAGTCATTATATCCAAATAACGGACCTCACCCGTGAATAATTTTTTAGTGGTTTTTTTTTCATAGGTGTGTCGGGCGGGTCACTGGGAGTGTAAATTCAAAATGGCGACCAAATCATCAAGCTTTTGCGTATGTTTTTTTTGTTAAAAAACGGTTTTTGTTGAATAACTCGCCCATTTTTGATTCTACAGAAAAAGTTTGTTGACAAAAATTGTAGTAAATTTGGTTCTCTACAAGTTTGGTTTTCACAATTTTTCTGATAGGATCGATATTTTGTAAATTAAACCTGAAAAAAGCGACAAATTCGAAATATTTCCATTATCTCGTTTATTTTCAACTTTACGGCATAAATGAACAGAAACAAACTTGTAGAGAATCAAATTTTGGACAAATTTTGTCTTTACCTGTTTTTCCGAAAATCGATATTTTCGGAATTAAACCTAAAAAAACGACTCATTCGAAATATCATCATCTCGTTTATTCTCAACTTACCATACCATAACACCATAAATAAGAAGGAACAAACTTGTAGAGAATCTAATTTTGGACAAATTTGGTCTTTACCTGTTTTTCCGAAAATCGATATTTTCGGAATTTAACCAGAAAATATGTACCCATTCAGAAATATTCGCAATATCTCCTCTTTTTCAATTCTGTAGGTGCAACGAATAGGGCGAAAGTTGTATACAATAAAATGAAAATGATAATGAAAATATTTCGAATTTGTCGCTTTTTTCAGGTTTAATTTACAAACTTGTAGAGAACCAAATTTACTACAATTTTTGTTCCCAAACTTTTTCTGTAGAATCAAAAATGGTTGAGTTATTCAAGGAAAACCATTTTTTAACAAAAAAACATACGCAAAAGCTTGATTTGGTCGCCATTTTGAATTTACACTCCCAGTGACCCCCCCGAGACACCTATGAAAAAAAAAAACACTAAAAAATTATTCACGGGTCAAAGTCTATAATGACTGGACTAAAATTGTAATATTTTTTCGAAAAAGTATCCTCAGTCATCAGTGTGACCCACTTGGAAAAGGATCAACAATAAAATTTGTATCAATTCACCGATTCCGACGAACTATTTTTGGAATTGTAGAGCTTAAAAAACGATACTTTAGGACGAAACATAATATTTCCTTTATTTGAACATATATAGAATAATGATGGAATCATGGAATCTCACTCTGAAGATAAAATTCTTATTTTTCGATGTGGTTTGTATGACCCATCAGTCCCATTACCTTTATCCATTATTGCAGATTCTACCTCCCACTTCAAAATTCTGAATAACTTTATCTTCACAAGATGTTCCAATATAAACATTTTATGATCCCTACAAAGATCGAACCATTTCGGATACTTAATTTCTACATATGAAACCATATTTGCCACAATTTTTTCTTCTACACCATAGTACAATCTATATAATTCAAAGATATCATTGAATTTATGTAGCATGTCTGTCACCAAATCACTAAAATATTTGTTTGTTCTTGTTAAATACGAGATACTCGTTTTATTGATTCCATAATTCCTGTGAAATATATGGAGTTCTCTGGCTTCAATAATAGCACTTCCATTTTCACTAAGAAACTCTTTTTTACACCTATCACAGTCAAATTTTTTGAAAAGCTTGAAACACAAATATCCAGAAACATAAACATTCACGCAGTCTTCAAGTGTAATTGTTGAGGATTGCTCTACGCATCTCACACTTTCTTCTTCTTCCTCCTCATGATATAAATCAATAACTTCATTATCAGGACTAGGTAGACCATCTCGTTCCTCCTCTTCCTGTGGATATTCATATTGTTGAATACCTCCATCAATAATCAATGTGTCCCCACCATCTTCTTCACAATTAGATGATTCTACTGCTGACATAAGCCTGATGTGCATATTAGACTGCAGTGCAATTCTAAATTCTCTTGTAGTTGGCTGTGGGTTGTAACCACCTCTGTTTCTCAGGACAGAGAATAAATTTTCCAAGGGATCTTGGCTGATTCTGGACGTTAGAAGATATTTCTTACCTTCGTCCTGCAGTTCCTTCCACAACATCAGAATCGCCCTGATAGTCCAG